AATTTTAAATCTTATACAAAGAAATAAAAATACTAATTTTCTAGATTTGATACAAGGCATATATATACGTTGTATAATTATGAGAAACACTTAATACAACACACAAACAATCCTAAAACATTCCCTACCTCAATTTGAGATGAAAATCTCAAAAGCCATCAAAATGGAACGGCTCCGAATCCGACGAAACTACTAGGTTTTGTCGGGGACAACACGATGATCATAACCCCCAAGGAAGCCCCATCAAAATCATAACTTGACTTTAAATCCAAACTAGAAAAATGGTCAGAAATGGGTTCCAATAAGGATGAAAGATGCGCACCGCCAAGACGAGCAACAAACACTAAGGCACTACTATGTTTTGACAAAGGAATGAAAATCGAAAGAGGAGAGAGAAGGTGGCAGCCTCCCTTGGGCTGCCATGAGAGCTTCAGGTCGTACAAGAGGAGTGGGGAAGATGAAAAATGAAATATTTCATCCCCTTTTTATAGAAATCTCAAAAAGTGCCCCGAACGGGCCCCGCCGGGTCCGAAAAAGTAAAATTTGAGCAGACGTGTTCAAATGGTGAAACTCTATGAACGAAAAAGATTCAAAATGAGAAAATATGAACAACAAAAGAAATGATATCGAAAACCAAGTCCCGAGCAGAAAGTTATGCCCCAAACAAGTTTGGCACTAATTGGGGCCAGAAACCCTGAAACTGGAAAATAACGACCAGGAGGAAATCCCAAGAGTAGACGACTCGATAAAAAGTGAAAATGAATCACGTATGAGGATTCAGGTCCAAAATAAGGCATTTAGAAATAACTTTCATTAATTGCACAATGGCCCCTCCAAAAAGTGAAAACTGCGAAATTGCTCCAGAATGAAAATATCTTCCAAAAAGATACTTTCTTAGAAACTCCTGAAATAAATATCTTCAAAAGATATTTATGAAAAACACCCCAAGAAAATAAAAAGATTCCAAAGAACTGTGCATTCATGCCCTTATGGACACCGGAAGCAACCAGAGTACTTTACTACAAAAGTAAAGATACGTATTTCATGGAAATCACTGAGAATGAAGATACGTGAAGTCAAAAACCAACTTTGAACACAAGAAGTGTGGTTACGCCAACAAAGTGACTAACGGGGAAAAGACAAAATAGGGAAAATGACGAAAAGCGAATAGTGTCTAAAAAGTGAAAATATGGAAATGACTCGATCCTCAAAGAAAATTGTCAATCCAATGAAAAAAGTCTTAGAAATCATTTCAGAGCACTCGAGATAATACTAATAGACAAGAAACCAAACTCAGAAGGGAAAAGACAACGGAAAAGAAAATTTATCCAAAAAATCCTGGTCATTACAACCTCGCATCACAAACCTGACCTTTCTGGTCACAAAACCCGTACACTGATCAAAATTCGTGCTCTCTGCACCGCACAAAATGCACTATGAAAATCAAAATGACTACACACCAAATAGCTCAGTCCACGTGCTAAAAGACCAAGCCATTCGTTCGATAAGAACTGGCACCCAACAACCCTGGAGCAACCGAGCTCCTCGTCTACTCAGGTCAATACTCACACAACCATCCCATACTTGACCGCATACATGCATATAAGTACATAGGTATATATATATATATATACAAGACATACTTATATATATGTATTTATATATACAAAATAACCGGAACATAACCTTTGACACGATCGTATCCAACTGCATCAGTTTAAATAACGAGTCCATTAAATCATTATGTGAAATTAAACACCTTGTTTATCCTTATCATCATTTTATTATAATACATACTTGCACAACCCGTGCTCAATTGCCCGCCGCATTACTATGCACCACTTACATGTCATTACCCATACTCACTACTTGCCAACTTATCACATATAACATGCTTCCCATCATTATTACATAAACATTCTAGCCACGTAACACATATTTTAACATTTTAGCACATAAGCATGTCAACACTTAGCAAATAGGCATGTCTTTCAAAACATTAAACATTTAAACAGGTAACAAGTAAGTATGCTTCTTAAACAGTTAAGCACTTTAACACATAAGCACGTAAACATGCAATTCAACTTCCCCATGCAATCCTAAGTAGGCCTCTACCTATCATCCTAATGGTATTCGAACCATGGCTCTAATACCAACTTTGTAATGACCCGAACCCATGGGTCCGAACCGTTAATCGGGTCTTTACCCATCATTTCTAATGTCAACACATCATCATTGTGCCCTAAACATGCTTCAAGAGGACTTTAAACAACTTCCAAGGCTTAAGGATAACTCAAAATAAATGAGGAACAAATGAGCCAAAGCAGCTTCATTTCGGTCGACCGAAATAGAGCTTCGGTCGGCCGAAGTGAAGTCTGTATCGGTCTACCAAAATAGCCATTCCGGTCGGCCGGTTGTGGCCCAAACAGTAGCTGAAGTTACTAGAATGATCGGTCGGCCAAAATGGTTTTGTAACCTGGGAATCTTGCTACTAAACTACTGTGAATGCTGAGAATGAAGAAAATTTTGGTAGAGACTTTGAAAAATGTTCTAAGCCTGTTCCAAACACATTGCAAAATGACTTTTTACATTCCATGATTTGAAACATCAACATTTTTATACAAAACAACATCATTAACTTCATTCTAATAAGGAATGCTTATGGTCTTTACAAATAGTTTAGTTTACAACAAAATAGAGTCTAGGCTCTAAGTTATATTACAAGGCTATGCTAAGCAAACTTAAATACATTCCAAAATAATGTTTTACAAAAACAAAAAAAAAAAAAAAAAAAAAAAACAAAACCAAAAAAACAAAATCTCAAGTCTACAAAATGGTTGCTAAATACACACTTCTATTCTCTTCATGCTTGTGGTGAATTGGCATCCGCCACCTCCTTTCTGTGACCTGAAAAATGTTAATACAAAAGGGTGAGCGAATTGCTCAGTAGGTGGTACTTAAGACACATCTCTTGTGATCCCGTGAATCCATACAACGAATAAAAATAGGGGCAACGGGATCATACTTTGCCAGAAAAGAATACAACAAAAATTTCAAATCTAAAACAATGTCGTGCCATGAAATGCAATGCCAGGCTATGTCGCTCCCCACTTTCAAAATTCATTCCATTCCTCATTTTTCAAACCGTTAACATAACCTGTTCCATGGCAACTCCATGGCGACACAAGAGAATGATTGCCTATTGTCCCTGACCCATGGTAACCCCGTGGCGTCATTTGGGGGCCCAGATAACTCAACCACGCTAGAGCAGTTTACCTAGTTCCTTCTAGGTCACATTAACGCTACGGACCCTAGGTAATCCCTAGGCGCCTGAGTTTTCACAAACTCTTTATCAAAACTTTTTCCCAAAACTCTTTTTCTTTCCATTTCAAAACAACTTTCCCATTTTATTTCCCAATGCCATGCTTGAATGTCTCATATGTTTCAATGCCATGTCAAATAGGAAATTCATGCATTTCAAGTTAAATTCAATATTACACATGCCTTTCAAAATAAATTTCTAAAATACACATTTCAAGCTTTCATTCAACATTAATCTAGCATGGTAAGCATAATAGGCATAAATTCTATTTCATAAAAGCATGCTTCCTCATAAGACATCAATTAACACAACTACACATTTCACATACAACATTTAAGCAACTTTTGCAAGAATTTATTTAAATTAAGCATGCTAGGCAATAATTTAAGAAGAAATAATTCACAAAAGTACAAGAACTTGTGAATTAGAAACCCCTATCTCACTTAGATTCAAACCCCCAAAATGAGCCCAAAATTCGAAATTCCTAGGTTGGCCAAAATGGTGAATTGCTCCTATCAACGCGTAGATCACAACGAGCTCTTCGATTTGCCACAAACGACACTAACAAATTCTAAAAATTGAGAGGGTAATTGAAGTTTGAAGTTGCAAAGAAAAGAAAAAGAAAAAGAGAAGGAAAAGAGAGAGGGAGCCGGGAGAGAGAGGAAGAAAATGAGGCCAAAGTGGCCTCTTGACCACTAATTCAAATGTTAGTGGCGGTGGGTCCCACCACTAAAAAAAAATTTTCCTTTTTCCTTTTTATTTCACACCACACACACATATATGCAATCAATTATATAAAATACACACAAAGCACACTAATTAAAATAAATGAAATGCAAATGGACCCAAACAAAACTCCCGTACGTGATAATTCCGGTAGCGGGTCCCACACTGGACTTTCGGCCTGAAAAATTAAAAAATGCCGAAATGGCTACCGGTACATTTCTAAGAATCCTGAACTCAAGGAAATGTCCCAATCAACTCTCGGACACATCCCACGATGTCTGGCACGCAAAATGAAAAAAAAAAAAAAACAAAAATGCCTTTGCAAAAACAGAAAATTCTGAAAAATGAAAAAATGACGAAAATTGAAAATATTACATATCTGGCCTTTTGGTCATAAATTTTTTTTAATCTTATTCCATGCGGTAATGAAATGCACATTCCATTGGTCAAGGGAAGGAATCATTTTGGTGGAATGACCATTCTCGAAGAATGGTGAGGAATGATAATTTCACCTTTAAAAGCATGCAACAAATGGAAAGAAAATCATTCCATTTCACTTTTTTTATTCTCACCCCTACCAAACTAGTCCTTATAGTTACAAATTTTTTTGTCCATTTTGTGTGTGTCTATGTAAAAATTGACTAAATGTGTTTTAATAGCACTCATTGATCTTTTTTTATATTAAGAATATATGTTAAGAACTCTAATAAACATTCATGGGTCCGCCCCCGCTGCACGTATAATGTTAATAGATTTTTATAACTAAATTGATTTATTTAATCAATATACGTCATGGGCTAACTTGACCTATTTGATTTTAAGTTAGATGTTGGTGGTCAATTCCATATATATATATATGTATATATATATTCTAAGTTTTTGGAGTATATGTCTTTAAATTAATTGTACATCTGAAATTGTATGTGATTCAAGGATCTTCTTTTCGGTAGAGTCGTGTTTGGTACGGGGAATCTGGCTCATCTGGGTGTGATGCCGTAGACATATTTTTGGGAGAGTTTAATAGACTTTTTATCATTTAAAAAAAAAAAAAAAAGAAGGGAAAAGTGTGAAGTGCAATAGTTGAGAAGGGAAGTGCCAATATCGTCTCTATATCATTTAACTAAATTCAACTGAGTCTCAAGGATGTTATCCAAATGCATTTCAAGTAATTGTAGTAAACTCGACCCCTTAGCTTTTCTTACAATGTCATAGAGAAACAAATGAATACAAATGCAATTTCAAAAAAAATCATACATTTTTTTTTTTTTTTTTGATAAGTATAAAATAATTATTTAATATACTGACTGATAATTTAAAAAAAAAAAAAAATCATACATATACACTACTATCAGGACAACCACATTCTTGAACCTATTAAAATTACTACGTATAAATAACTATATGTTAAAAAAAATTAATAAACATATAGGAAAAAAAAAAATTACATTTTGTATGTGTAGTAATATAAAAAAAAAAATTTACATTATGCAAATAAGCAAGCCTAAAATTCCTATAATTTTTTTTTATTACCCTTTAATTTGTTAGTTAACTTATTTAAATCATGGAATAACCTTTCTACCCTCTACAAATCATTTTATTGGACCAAACTAACCTCTTTACTCCTTACTTCATTCTTTATCAACCAAACTATATATATATATATATTATTTACCTCACACATTCTTTACCTAATTATTAACATAAATATTACAAAAAAGTATGCTTGCATACATTAATTAAATCTTATCTAGTGCAAAAATTGTAACGACCCGAACCCGATGGTCCAAATCACTAATCAAGTCTTTACCCAAACCCGAGGTCAACTAAAGACGTTATCGTCCTTTCCTGTATCAATACATAATATACGTGTCATCCCAGGGTTTATAAATAATAATAATAATAAAATGAGATCATAACTACAAAATATGTCAAAACAGTCTACTAACCTATCAAAATCTGTGGAGGAGCGTCGTCCGCCACTTCCTTTCCGTATCCTGAAAAATGTTAAAATAAGGGATGAGCAAATTGCTCAGTTGGTGGTGCCTAAGACACACCTCTTGTGATCCCGTGAATTCATACAAAGCACAGGAAAAGGAAAGAGGGGTCATGCTTAGTCAAAAGGGAAAACATAGCATCAATTCCAACAACAATGAATCAAATTCTCATCAAACCATGACATGCTATGGAATGCAATGGTGTGCAATGTCGCTCCACATTTCAAAAACCTTTATCCGTCATCATTTCCAACTATTAATGCAACCCATCCCATGGCAATTCCATAGCGGCATGAGAGAATGATTGGCTAACTGTCCTTGACCCATGGCAACTCCATGGCGTTATTTGGGCCTAGGTAACTCAAACACACTAGGAAAGTTTCCCCAGTTCCCTCTATGTCACACTAATGTCACGGTCCCTAGGCAACTCCTAGGCGATCGGGTTTTCGCAAACTTCTTTCAAAACTTTTTTCCCAAAAATCATTTCTATTGTTTCATAAAACAACTTTTCCCATTTCATACCCAATGATAATGCATGAAATGTCACATGTTATCAAATGTCAACAGAAAAATATATTCATTTCACTAACATCAAATTTAAAATAATTTTTTTTTTTTCCATAACAAGTTAGGTTCTCATTCTCATCAAATATAGCATCATAAGTAAATGGGGCATATAAATAATTCAAATAAACATTTATATTTCATTACAATTTAATTGGACACACAACTTAGCACATACAACACAAAAAACACCTCATCATGCTTCATTATATATATTTTCAAATAACCATAAATAATATTCAAAGTCTAGTGAACAATTCTATAAATTTCTATGAAGAAAATTCACACCAAGGGTAAAGAAATTGTAGCTTAGAAACCCCCATCTCAAGTATTGAAAAAAAAACCCCAATTTCAGCCCAATTTTCGGAATTCAATGGGTGGCCAATTGAAAATCAGCTCCGATCAAAATGAAGCCCACGACGAGCTTGACAACTTTGCCTTTTATGGCAAGATCAAATTCACAAAGACGAAGAGGGATCAAAGCTTGAAATGTTAGGTTTTTAGAGAGAGAATTCATGCAGAGAGAGAGAGATTACGGTCTGGAGAAGGATAAGCGTGGTGTATATAAAATGTAAGGGCAAACTACAATGACCTCTCCTGAGGTTTGGCATAATTGCAACTAAACCTGAAATTTGCTATTTTTTTACAAAGACCCCCCAATGTCAGATTTTGTTATGAATTTACTCCTCTACACTCATTATTATATTGTTAAAAAAATCAAAATATCTAGAAATAACAAATGACTTTTTTGCCCACAAGCACTTACCCATTATTCCTCTCTCCTCTCCTTCGCCACCAGTTTTCACGTTACTGAATTTTTAGGGCTCTTCACCGAATTTCTTCTTGTTGATGCTCTCAGGCTCTCGGTTTGTCTTCATGTTGCTGGAATTCTCGTTGAGGAAGGGCTTGCAGGTCAAGAGGTTGTGGAAGCAGCGAACGATGGACTAGACGGCGGAATTGGGCGGCGATGGTCTGGATGACGGCGGAGCAGCACTGGTTGGGTCCGATTGCGTGGGTGTGGTCGCGTGAGTCTGGGCAGGGACGGTGATGGAGAGAGGGACGCGCCATCTGTTTCGAGACTCAAAGTGCATGTAGTCGTGTGAGATGTTGTTAGGGACGGTGATGGAGAGAGGGACACGACGCGGATTTCCCTGAGAGTAATGGTTCTGTCGGCGGCTGCGCGTGGTTGTGATGGTGGTGCTGTTGCCCATGGTCGTATATGCAAACCCATGAAGAAGAAGTCTCGATTTGGGGCTTTTCTTCGCCGGAACTGGAACAAGATTCAGAGAGAATTAAAGATGGGTGGGTGGGTGGGTGGGTGGGTGCTTGGTGGTTCACTGGAAAAATCAAGCTAAAACTCCAAGATTGATCAATCAAACCTCAAATCCATCCATATTGATTGATATGTACAAAATCAACATTTGTTTTCAAAATTAATCAAAATCAAACCCTAAAATTAATGCAATATATCATTACATTGATACAATATTGAATATAAATGTATATACATATATGCCAGCTAATGAGAAAAAGTTAGAGAGGAAAGAACACTAGTTTGCTGTTTGTAGGCTGGTTGACAGTTTGACCATTTGAGAGGTAGTCTCATGAGCATATCATTACACAAAGATACGCTATTATGTTTTTTTCTGGGGTTTGGTTTTGTATTGACATTTTGTGCATTGTATTGTGAAGGAATGGCTACCATGAGATATGGGGTATCTAATTGTGGGTTTAGTTTCTCTGTGGGTTTGTTTGGCAGCGACGACGGCTACCGGTGGAGTGGTGGTTGCTCTTGTTTTTAAGCATGATTTTTTTTTTTTGTTATTCCATATATTATAAGGGTAATATGGTCTTTTACACCTAGTTGATGGGCATTTTAGTCACTTTAACCAAATTTTCTAACAAAAATTATGAAATTTTGTACAAAGGGGAGGTCTTTGCAAAAAATTGCAAACCTCAACGGGACTTGTTGCAAAAAAATGATAAAATTCAGGTTTAGTTACAATTAAGTCAAACATCAGGGAAGGTCATTGTAGTTTGTCCAAAATGTAAAATCCTCTTGTGGGGCCATCCACTTACTTTTCCTTCTTTCCTTTTCTTTTTCTCTTTTTCTTTTCTTTCTTTTTCCTTCTTCTCCCCTCCCTCGGCTGGCAGCCACCTGCTCTCTTCTTTATTTGATTCACAATATCTATATATATATATATTACAAAAATATTATATATTATTTATTTCGAATATTTTTATTGTAGCACTAGTTAGCCGACAAGCATATATACATCAATTAGATAGGACCATGACCATTCCTTTTCACTTGATTATTAAGGGCAAAATGGTATTTTAGTTTATCTATTCTTATTTTATTAAAAAACTTTTTGGAAAAAAACATCTAATAAAATTTGACCCGTATCCTTGCTAGATTTCTTATGATGACAAATATAATGTGAAATTAATCAATTTAGTTATCAACTTATCTTATGTGTATGGAGGGGAGGATCAGTAGATTGGACCACCATAACTGATACCAATAGTTTTCCCCCAATACATTAAATAGCAAATTGATTATAAGCAATATGACAGTATGCTAACATCAATAGACTAAATAAAATTTCACGCAAATTAGTAATATAAAGTAGATAAGAAGATAAATGCATGCACAAATAAAAATAAAAAAATAAAATAAAATAAAAAACATTGGAGATTACAAATACGTTTGGTGTGAGAGGTAAATGTTCATTCTTAAACTAACTCTCACTAAAGAATGCAGGATTAATACAACAATACTTTCATACTCAACACAAACAAAATTACAAGGAAAATCGGTCAGCTTAAATGTTTAAGAAAGTTAATTAAAATGTTCTTCTGATATTCTCATAATTCAGATTTTATGCAAACTAGTCAAAATTGGTATGAATGCTCTTTTGATAATTCATTATAAGAATATTCTCATGATACACAGTCACAAAAATATTTAACCACATAAATAAACCTCTTGTTATCACATGAACCATGTGGATTGAAAAGAAGTTTATGAGATTTGATCCCACTAATTTTCATATGATTCTGAAGTACTTTACCATTTGATCAATGATATTAAATTTCAATAATAATTATAGCCCACAGATAAAGCTGATTAAGTAAAACTGTAGATCAATGTTAGTCAATTGTGCTCAGGTTAAGGTGTTAAACAATACCAACATGTTAATTATAGGATAGGATCAACTTTGTAACAAATAGCTTACCAGCAGTAAGAGCTATATAATGCACACCTTACACTACGATTCCGACATGAGTAACTACTCAATGTCCTTAGAAACAAGACTCCCCCACATGAGTGACTGCTTCAGACCAAGATGGAAGCCCGGTATCTATAGGGTTAAGTGGCAACTCGAAAACCCTAATTTGTGCGGGATACCTTGAAAACCCTAAGGCATAATTTGGTGTAATGGAATGGGTTAGAATAGAATGACAATTCCACTTTCTCATTCCCTTTCTCTTATTTGGCGTGCCACTTTAAAAAGTGGAATGGCCATTTCCTATAATGCTCATTCCATCTGGAATGACCATTCCTCTTCTGGACTTGTGGAATATCAGTTATACTTTATTTACATGTTCATCATGGAATTTTCAAAACATTCATATGTTGGGTTATGCATCAAATTGTTTTATTTAGCATTTAAATTGAAAAATACACAGCTGAGCATCTCAACAAACAAACCAACGCATCTAACATAAGTCTAGGTTAACCTTTTGGAATGCTAAATCTCTATCCACGGGTGGAAAGGAGGTGTTGATTAAGGCAGTGTTGAGTATTTTACCTACGTATGTTATGTCTTATTTTAAGCTTCCCACTACATTGTGTCAAGATTTGATGAGACATATTCGTTCTTTTTAGTGGTATAATAAGGATAAAACAAGGGCAATTCATTGGATACATTAAGATCTTCTCTGCCAGAGTAAGCCTTCGGGTGGTCTTGGATTTCGCGATTTGGAGGCTTTTAATTTAGCCCTTTTAGCAAAGCATGCTTAGCATTTTCAGGTGAAAAAACAGGGTATGCTATATCAGCTTTATAAGGCCAAGTATTTTCCATCTTCATCGTTTTTGGATGCTTCTTTGGGCTCCAATCCTTCTTGGGGTTGGCGTAGTATTTGGTCTACTCAGGTGTTGTTATCTCAGGGAGTCCGCTCATTGATTGGGAATGGAATTTCTACGCATGTGTGGAAAGATCATTGGGTTCTTACGCTTTCGGATAAGCTCCAACTTCCGCAGGATCCACCTCCATTTTCTTTTGTGGCTGAGTTGATTGATTCTTCTACGTCTTCGTGGAAGGTGGATGTGTTGTCTCAGTTTTTCCCTTCCTGTACAGTGCAGGAAATTCTTAAAATTCGTATTAGCAGGGGATAAGCCGAATGAAGTCATTTGGAAGCCAGAGAGGTTGGGTAAGTTTTCAGTGTGATCTGCTTATAAACTAGCCATTTCCATGTTTAATTTTTCAAGAGTTGCTACTACTAATTGTTCTTGGTCTTATATTTGGCAGTGTCGTACTCTGTCTAAGGTGCAACATTTTCTTTGGCGCTGTTGTCTGCATGCTTTACCGGTTCAATTAGCTTTGTTGGATCGAGGGTGTGGTGTCGCCCCTTTGCCCTCATTGTGGTTTACAGGAGGAAACTGTGGTGCATCTTATTTTTTCTTGTCCTCACTCCATTCAAGTGTGGAAGTTATCAGCACTGAGACTTGATTTTTCGGCTTTTTTCTTTCCTTCTTTTCGGGCTGGTTGGAAATTTTTGGTGCAAAAGGCTATTCTTTCTTCGGAGTTTGAAAATGTTCTTAGTTTACTTTCCTTTTGTATTTGGGGTATTTGGAAGTCTAAGAATCGATTGGTCTTTGAGGGGTTGTTATGGCAACCTGAGGTTGTGGTTCGGAGGGCTGTTGCCAATTTTTGGGAGTTTCATGATGTTAGGTCTCGTTGTTCTTCTTTGTAGCCAGCACCGTCTATCCCTTTGGTGGATTTGTGGAATCCTCCTCCTTCTGGAATTGTTAAGTGCAATTTTGATGCTTCTTTTTGTGGGCAGTCCTTTCAAGGGGGTGGTGGCGTCGTGTTCCGTGATTTTCGGGGTAATGTGCTTCACATAATTATTTTTCACCCTTTTCCCGCTTCTTCATCTTTGGAGGCAGAATTGTAGTGTGTCAGCGTGCTGTTCTTTGGGCTTTGGATTTGGGTTTATCTTGCTTATGGTTTGAATTGGATGCCACAGTTGTGGTGAATGGTGTGTTGTGTACGGAGTCTTGTCCTTCGAAAATTGCTTCTCTATGTTTTGATATTAATCGGGACCTGCGCCGTTTTTCGTCTGCTATTTTGACTCATGTGCGTCGCCAGGGTAATCGGGTGGCTCATGCGTTGGCTGCTCTTTCACGAACTAGGCTTGGGTCAAATCAGCTTTTATCTTCTTTACCTCCTTCTGTCATTCCTTTTGCTGTGGCCGATGTTAGATCTTAGTTTTTTTGTTGGTTTTGGTTTCTTAGGTGTTTGTCTATGCCCAAAAAAAAAAAAAAAAAAAAAAAAAAAAAAAAAAAAAAAAAAAAAACCTATGCAACTCTTTTTTACTTTTTTATATTATTTTTAAGTAATTTAATAATTCCGATTCTCAAATAGAGAATCAGGAAAGAAATAATTTAATATTTATGCTTTACAAAGGAAGTGTTCCAGCAATCATATTTGCTTATCCAGATTTTTTGTTACAACTAAAAGGAACAATACTATTGACTACAATTTAAATAATTGTTAAGTTTTGGTGTGATTAGTGTAATAAACCACCATTAAAGTTTGGAGAGCATTTTGGAAAACTATTACCATTACTTCAGCATGTTGGAAGGAATAAAATATCACATCCATTTATGAGAAATTAGTAATGAATGTTATAAAGCAGGTAAGAAGATAAATGCACAAATATATGAACAAAAACAACTTATTCTTCATGATTTTGAAATCCTATATGCATTTTCTCACTTTCTTGTCTTGCGATACTGATTTTGGATAAATAAAAAAATTAAAAATTAATATTGAGATGTGTTGACCTTAAGGATTTCATCTAAGGACAATCTAGTTCTTTTGATGATAACAAACCATTAATGGTGTTTAAGGCCTAATGTTCACATTAAGTGGTATAAATTACTTATATTCAATGGAGATCATAAAGACCATTTCAAGTATTCCATTACTCAAGATCACATATATGGAAAATAAATGAGTCAAAAGAACTTGAAGTTGCAATGAATCAAATGTAAAGTCTATCCAAAGATAGCTTGGATTACAACAAGCAAGAAAGCAACTCAAAGAAAGGAAGAAAACGAGTCTGCCTGAAAGCCTACACGATCATGGACAAAGCGTGAAGAAAGGGGTAGATAGGATGGTGAGTGTTTAGGATTTAATGTCAAAGTATTTATGAATCCATTTGAAACTCATCTCTATAGGACCATATATATCATATCATCATTTATATGTTTCTATATATATTAGCAATAGACTATGCACTTCATTCATATATAATTGCACATGAAGTCATTGCTAAAGAGTGAGTTAGTTCAAGCTTGCATAAGCTTTGAAATAACTCATCACTTGTGTTAAAAATGCTAAGACTATGCACATCAATCATATAATTCATATTGGTCAATAATTAAGGCATAAGAAGCCTTCATTACCATGAGTTGGTAATGGACATTAGGACCCCAGAATGCACGTTATGAAAACTGTGTTTTTGGCTAAGTGTGAAAAATAAAATTTTGAAATAATGATTATTTCAAAATAATTTTTCCCGCTAATAACTCTTTATACTTCAACTAGCCTAAACTAATTTTATCAGAATTTTTGACCAAGTCTACATTGGTCTACATAAGGATTCATTTTTATCAAAACTGTCGGAAATCCAAATTTGTACTAAAACTAAATTTCTACATTTTGATTTAGTTGAATTTCAATTTTTTAGTATTTTTTATTGAATCCAAATGGGGGGTACTTCCTTATTTATATTCTAAACTTAAAGCAAATGGACATATAAATACTGTAAAGACATTTACTTAAATGTTTTCAATGGAAATAAGCTGTGTGCAGATGTTCTGTACTGAAAGTCCTATGTATAAGCTGCCATCTGTCAGTTTGGTTTGATGCAACTGTCAACCGGTATCTAGGCAGTAGCAAAATTCGAGGAGATCATTTACGTCGACTGGTTTGATACAGACGCCGACTGGTTTGATGCATACATCGACCGGTATCTAGGCAGTACTGAAATTTCAGAAACATAACATACGTCGACCGGTTTGGAGCATACATCAACCGGTTCATGCAAAGACGTTGACCGGTTTGTAGCATACGTCGACCGATTCCTGTCGAATCTACAGATTTCAAAATGTAACGGCTCTTTTCTCCTCGACCTTTGTGAATTCAGCCCTTAACAGCTATATTGAGCTTGCAAATTCTATAAATAGAGTGGGGAATGTCTTAATAATCAAGAGACATCATTTGAAAGCCTTCACATTGCATTAAAGAGAGCTTTTGTTCTTAAATCTTCTCTTCATCTCTCTCATTCACTCATATACAAATCTTGAGAGATTTAACTAAGGATTCAAAGGGCTTTTGCTGTAATTCGAATCTTCATAGAACTTTTGTTCTATTCTATACTTGAGAGATCTTGTTGAGTTCATTAGAGCTTTTGTTCTTTACTTATATCATCTTCTCTCATTCATATCATTTATAGAGTTTGAGCTTCACTTATATTCATATATACCCTAATTGAGAGCTAAAGTTTGTACATCAATATTTGAGAGATATTTCTTGTGAGCTTGCACTTGTATATCTATCTTGAGAGAGATTCAATCTTGTATTTCAATTACAATCTTTTCTACAAACTTGTAAGGGTTGGTGTGACCCAAAAGAAACCTAGGAGAAGGGTGTTCTCCTAGTAAGGAAAAGAAGCAAAGTCTTGCTTTATATAAAAGTTTGCTCTCCACCCGTAAAGAAAAGCCATAGTGGATTGGGAAGTCTTAAGAGGAGTCTTGAGCCGAGGAGTAGGAGTTTTCGAACCTCGCTAAAATCACCGAGTCAATATTAGCAATTTCTCTTCTCTTATCTCTCTTATAATTGTGCTATTTAATTGTTTATTTCATATCTTTATAATTGCACAATTGTGTTAAGTACTTTGGTTGAAATTGTTTTTCTATATTGAAAAAAAATTATCCATTGTTTATCATTGACTCTATTCACTCCCCCTCTAGAGTCAATACTTGGGCAACAAGATGAATATCCGTATACACATAAAGAAAATTACATATAGGTTTAGTGTGGGGTAGAAACTAATTCTTAAACTAACTCTCATTAAAGAATGCATGATTAATACAAAAATGCTTTCTTACTCAGAAGTATAAGGAAAAACAGTCGTTTAAATGTTTATGAAATTTGATCAAAATGTTCTTATAATATTCGAATAATTCAAATTTTATGCAAACCAATCAAAATTGGTATAAATGCTCTTTTGATAATTCATTATAATGATGATACAAGGTCACAATACTATTGAACCCCATAAATATAGACCGGACCAACCTACAAAAACGAAACTATCCCTCCACAACCAGTCATCATGTAGGGTGTTAGTTTTATGGAAGCTTTAACAATTTATGGACTAGTTGCAGCATTAGCACTTTTATTTGCAAATCCTTTTATTTAATTATAGAAATATGAAAAATATGTAAATTTGAAGAGGGTACAATATGCATTGCCTTGAATTTAAATTTCTTCTGCTTTATATGATTATCAATGAACTCGTTTTGATGGTTGATCTTAACAATTTATGGACTAGTTGTAGCATTAGCACTTTTATTTGCAAATCATTTTGTTTAATTCTAGAAATATGAAAAATATGTAAATTTGAAGAGGGTACAATAGGCAGTGCTTTGAATTTAAATTTCTTCTGCTTTATATGATTATCAATGAACTCGTTTTGATGGTTGATCGGTGAAGGAATGAATGATTGTGAGAACCATTGCTAGAGACGAACAAGAGACAGGAATAAATAGCGAATCAAAACAAACTCAAGTCAACTCAAGTCACGCTGAACCTAGCTATGTTAGGCTCTTTAACCATTGCTGTAGTTCATCATTTGTATTCCATGCCCCCTTATCCATATCTAGCTACTGACTATGGTACACAACTGTCAAAGAAGAGCAATGAGGGAAATGTCTCTGGGCAACTTCCACTAGGGTGGTGGGGTGGGGTGCTTGTGGTCAAAATTCCGGTCAATTCTGAGTCGAGCCAGGAATGGCCGTTAGTGGAAAACTTTTTGTTATCACAAGAAACCTGTGGATTGGAAAGAAGTTGATGAGATTTAATTGGTCCTACTCATTTTCATATGATTCGCTCAATTAAATCTAGGGGGTGACAATTCGTGTTCGTATATCATATTCGTGTCGATGTAAGGATATTATACTAAATAGGTAAAGTCAAACTCAAACTATTTAATAATCGTGTCAAGAATTCTTAACACTAACCCAACCCGTTTATTAAACAAGTAAACGTGTTAACCCGTTTAATGACCCGTTTATCACATTTAATATTTAATCAAATACTAAATAATAGAAAAAAATTATTATAATTAACCCAAATATTCAAAAAAAAAAAAAAAATCATAAAGCATAAACAAGGTTTATATTGAAGTGACTTAACTATCCATAGTAATTGGGTTTAAATAGGTAACATATTTCATAAGTCATATTCACAATTATAACATGTTGAGTTAAATGGGACATAAACGGGTTACACGGGTTGAACCCTTCAACACTAACCCGACGGTTAAGTATACGAGTTAATCGTGTCGACCTTTTTATGACCCAAACCCGTTTATACCAAACCCAAATCCTTAACTCGTGTCGTGTTGTCATGTTGTAATTTGTCACCCCTAATTAAATCTAATAAAAGCCCATAGATAAAGCCAAAGAAGTAGAACTGTAGATCAATGTCAATTACTTGTGCTCAGCTCAAACAATGCCAACATACTATATTATGAGAGAGGATCATTAGAACTTTGAAATAATTAGCTTACCTGCACTAAGAACTATAACTCACAATTAACCTCTTGCTCTCACACGAACCATGGTGATTGAAACGAAGTTTATCATATTATTATAATTTTTTTTTTTAACCATAAGTCTATCATATTAGGTCTCACTCATTGTCATATAATTCTAAAGTACTTTACCATTTGATCAATGCAATTAAACTTCAATAATAATTATAGCCCATAGATAAAACCGATGAAGTAAAACTGTAGATCAATGCCAATCAATTGTGCTCAGGTTAAATTGTTAAGCAATACCAACATGTTATAGGATAGGATCAACTTTGTAACAAATAGCTTACCTGCAGTAAGAGCTAGAACGCACAGCTAACACTACTTCATGTCCTTAGAACAGCCTGAAAATGAAACAAGACTCCCCACATGAGTGAGTGCTTCAGACCAAGATGGTATCCCAGTATCAATGCTAAGCTTCCTCAATGCCATGGTTTGGGGATTATAGGTCAGGGAGTCCAAGATAAGATCTGGTGATGGGATTAAATATATATATATTTTTTATTCCGTTACGAGAACGCATCAAACAGAGACCATTACAAGAACTGATTAGTAGTAATGCAGGATTATTTTGTAGAAAGATGGGTGGAAGTCTGACCTCTGTACAGGTGTGTAATCATGTGTCTCGTAGCGTTCCAAGTAGTAGATTTTCCCGTGGTCACATGCTGAGTTGCTCCGACTTTTGCATACACAACTGCATCGCATGAGCTGGCAGTCTTGGGAGTATTTCCATGACAATGTTGTCATCTTCAAGTTTATCCATCCTATCTCTCTCTTGAATTCGTGTGTGTAGGGCTTTCTTTCTCTCTTTAATTCTATAGGGTTTAATTGGCAACTCGAAAACCCTAATTTGTGTGGGATAACTCGAAAACCCTAATAAACAACTAGCAATGGAAAGACAACACCAGGTAATTAAATCATTCAATTTTGAAACAAACAGTTAATGTTTGTACTGTTAAGAAGCAATAGACAACACAGGTAATTAAAATCATTCAATTTTGTTTTATTTAGCATTTAAATTTAAAATTACACAGCTGAGCATAATCTCAACAAACCAACACATCAAGAAGGGTAACCATAATATACTTCAGTCCAACCAACCTCAGTTGGCCTGCCCAATATGTATGTATGTTGAATTACAGCATAAAATAAGTCACAGGCTAACTATGCAGAACTTTTTTACTTTCTTTTTTTTATTTTTTATTTTATATATAATTTTGACAAGTAATTTAATATTTACTATTACCAAGTAGAGAAACAGGAAAGAAATAATTTAATGTTTATGCTTTGCAAAGAAAGTGTTCCTGCAATCAAATTGTTTTGGTACTCTGCCTACTGGTGAGGAGGCTTATATGCAACAGATTTTCTGCTACAACTAAAACTCTTCAACTACAACAAAGACTACCTCATCAAACTGTCCAGGTGACTGAACACATTGAGTGGCTCATGTATCAAGAGAGCTTGTTGCTGCCTTGATGTGTTTGCACTCAAACAAGTTGGTGAATAACACTTAATACTGCACGGTCTTCCCCTGTAACAATCCAATTAAAAAATGTGGAATTTACTTAACCTTCCGAAGCTCATTGCCATCAACTAGGCCCAAAAAATGCCCGATAATGTAAATCAAAGATGTTTGGAGACATTCTTAAGCTAAATAATCCCCAACAAAAGGAACAACACTGTTGACTACAATATTAGCATCTTTCGTTCAAACTGCTACATTCTTTTATTACTTCGTGATAACTTCCCAAGCAGTAAAGGAAAATTATGGACGGAAAACATCCTCCAGAAAGAAGAGCACTGGTAAGTCTTCTAGTTGCATGCTTTAAAACAAGCAATAAACAATTACCCTACAAATTCATCTTCTTTCTTTTTGGCCCCTGGTAGTTGGCATCCATAATTCATAATAATGCAAAGTTAAATTTTTTTCTAGTTCATGTTTCCACACTGGAAGCATAAAATGAAACAATTCATAAAGAGCTAAATAAGTTTATACTTGGATGCTAATTATAGATCAATGACAATAGAGCGTGCTCAGGTTAAACAATAATTCAAATGAGTAAAACTCTTGTAATGGACTGCCTACCTGCACTAAGAACTACTACGCACAGCTACTACTAGATTCTACCACACACACATATATATCAAATAGAAAAACCAAATTTTCTACTTTCAGTAAGATTAGAAAACAAAAGCACGAATAAGTTCAAAGAAAGGTTTACAAACTCAGGTCGCTGATGGAGTGCAGCAGTTGATGGGAAATGAACCCGAAGCACCCCCATAACCCTTGGCTGCTGTGCCCCTAGCTCAAAAGATCATAAACTATGCGACACTCCAACCACAAGTCTTCTTCAAGGAGAACACAAGAATAATCCTTGTGATTGGCCTCAATTTCCTTTCTAAATCGAACTATTTTTTTATGTCAACTTCCTTACATCTTCATTCAACATTCCAGCTCCATTCACTTCGACCTCTCAATATTCTCTTTTGTTTCTTTAACAGTCTTAAAGTGAAACAAGGCTCCCTACATGGTTAACCATTTCAAACCAAGATGGAAGCCCTGCAATTCTAAGCTTCCTCAATGTCATGGCCCTGGGACTATAAGAAAGCAAAGCTTGATTATTATGAAGCATCAAAAGTTCTCCATTTCCCTGAACACATAGAGTTCGAACATATTTGATGATGTCCCACCCAACCAGATGAAATCTTATGGAGAAAGATTTAACCCAAGACTCTTTAACACCATAATCCTTCATAATCCACAAATCAATATGTTCATGAAATGAAGAGTCCATGATTGAAAGACACCCACCCAACACTACCAATGACAAACCACCTCCACCATCTACAACCATTTCAGGATACGGTATGACTCCAAATAGTTCATTTGCAATATCAAAAGAAGCAATGTGCTTGGCGGGAAATAAACAGAGCCAGTGTAGAGCTCCACACAAAAATGCTTCCGAAGAAGCCAAAGCCAATTGCTGCGAAAGGATTACATAAGGAACGTTACCTTTATTTCTCCAAAACCCATCACCTAAAGTGTACACATAAACCGTAGATTCTGAAACCATGAAAGGTCCAGAGGAATTAATAATCTCTACTAACTTATATTCGTTTCTTGTTGGGTTAAATCCAAAACCCATTACCAATCCACCAATATTCTGTGGTGGGTCAATCCGAATAGGAAGTTTAGTGCAACATCTAGTGAAAGGATTGCATATATAAATTGGGTCTCTGTTCATGCGATCAACCAAACAGAGGAGACCATTACAAGAACTGATAGATCGAAACTCTTTGAGATCGGGTATTGAAAAACTGACCTTTTCACAAGTGTAACCCAAAGTTTCGTTGTGTTCTAGAAAGTAGATTTGGCTTCGGAAGGCGGAATCGAACCAGAGGGTAGTGCAGAGAATGAAACTAGGGTTTTGCTGGGAGGATCGACTATTGAGTTGGGAGTGAATGAATCGAGGGTCGCGTGCTATATTGCGCCAGAGTTTGCATACGCACGTGCATCGCGTGAGGGTTTTGATGGGCAGCCTCGAGAGAATGTCGGTCACGAGGTCGTCTGTAAGTCTATTCATCATCTCCCTTTGCTGTGGGTGCGTGGTGGCTGAGAAACGAAGACAAAGGAAAGAGGGAAAACGCGGAATGTCCAAGTTAGTATTGGTTTAGAGCATCTCCAATGTGCTTTCTGAATTTGTCACATCACCATTTTTCAAAACTGATGCAGGCCTGCATGGCTGGCCCACGGCTCACCAAGAGGGCCGCGGTTTTCAGCGACCTATTGGGTGGGACCCAATTTTTAGCGATCATTGAAATCCGGCCCAAAATCGTTGGATTTAAGACCATTGGACTTGCTCTTAGTATCCCAAGTTACACAGCGTTTGGAATGATGTGATTTGGTGGGACTTAAATTTTAAATACAGTAGTATTTTCACGAGGGTCGCGTGCTATATTGCGCCAGAGTTTGCATACGCACGTGCATCGCGTGAGGGTTTTGAAGGGCAGCCTCGAGAGAATGTCGGTCATAAGGTTGTCTGTAAGTCTATTCATCATCTCCCTTGCTATGTGTGCGTGGAGGCTGAGAAACGAAGACAAGGGAAAGAGGGAACACACGGAATGTCCAAGTTAGTATTGGTTTAGAGCATCTCCAATGTGCTCTCTGAATTTGTCACATCACCATTTTTCAATAGCCATCTCAGCATTTTTCATAACCATGTCAGTATTTTAAAGTTTCCAAATTTCATTTATCGGATGTATTCTAATGGTGCACTTTTGTTCTCCAAAAATATTAACATTTTAATATTTTTAAAATTTTTAATTTAATTAATTTTTTAATTTTTTTGTAACGGCTACTACGTATATTTTTAAAACGGCTATATCAAAGTAGGGTTGATGTATTTATAGAGGAAAAATGAAAGGTTTTTTTTAAATAAATATATATATAATTATTTTTAAAAAAAAATAAAAAAAAAATAGGATTTTGTGCCAATATAGCTGTTAAGGCACTATTTGGGTCAACCAAACAGTGCCTAAAATGGTTATATGTTAGTAGGAATATTTGAAAAAGTAATTTTTTTTTTTAAAAAACATTTTTCTCTCTTTTTTTTTTTTTTTTTTTTTTTTTTTTTTAACTTTTTTTGCCCAAAAAAAGCCTTTAAGGCACTGTTTGGCACCTTGACGGCACTTTGGTTCAATTATTTAGGCAAACATGCCCTTAGGAACAGTGTTCTGGGCTAAAACATTGTTCTGGCCAGAATAAAAAAAATATAAACAAAACTGATGCGGGCGTGCATGGCTGGCCCGCGGCTCACCAAGAGGGCTGCGGTTTTCAGCGACCCATTTGGTGGTGCCCAATTTTTGGCGACCATTGAAATATGGCCCAGAATCGCTAGATTTGAGACCATTGGATTTGCTCTTAGTATCCCAAGTTACACAGCATTTGGAATGATGTGATTTGGTGGGATTTAAATTTAAAATACAGTAGTATTTTCAGTTTTTTAAATTGGAGGAATTTAAAATGGAATTCAATTTTATAAGATTTGAACTATGAATGGATTTATAAATTAATTTATCCAACTTTGAAGTTGTTGTTGTTTTTTTTTTTTTTTTTTTTTGACTTGGCAATGATATGGGGAGTTAGATGTTAAAGGGGGAGTAAGAATGATGCTGATGGGTTTCGAACACAGGCCAAAGGTCCTAAACAGTACATGCTTTACCGCTGAACTAGCACTGCACTCACCAAAAGGCTTAATGTAGGTCTTTTTTGGTCTTTTTATATTGGGCCAATTTTATTTATGATGTATTTATCATGATTTTCTAAATGTTGAAATACCACAGACTAAATACTTCACCTCATCTACCTTTTCAAGGTTCTATATATTTGTCCATCAACAAACATGTATAACAATATGTAATGCATATGTACTCACTTTATCTCTAGCTTGTTCTTTTAACAGGTCATAGAGGTTATTGTGAATTAATGTTAGAGATATTAGTTACAATGGGCTCTAATTAATATTTGTTTCTACATCTCTTGTATTTACGAATTAAGTTATTCATATTTAGGTTCATGTTAAATCAGTCATATTAATATGTCATAACCTTTTAATGTGTTACACATCACATAACTCAATCATTTAAGCAAATAACTCACTTACTATTTAAGTTTTGGATACATCACCACATAATGAGCACTCACTTCTCAACTATCATTACTAGTTAAAAGTGAGTTTTTAACTATCATTACTAGCTTAGATTAAGCACACTCTTCTCATATCTCACCACTAGGTTATGATGAACGTACACTTCTCTGCTATTACTATTAGCTTGAAGTTAAGTTTGTTCAATTATCAATTCTAGTAGTTTTTAACTTTAGTACACCCTTATCTAAATTGTCTATATTGATAATAGAGGAATTTATTTCGGAAAATACTATCCAAAAACTACTACTTTACAAGTAGTATTCTTCCCTCCTACAAGAGCAGATATGATGTATAACTCAAATAACTTATAGCTAAAATGACTACTCATCATCTTCTTATTTTTTCTACCAAGTTGAGAATGGAACCAGCTAGCAGATTTTAATCTCCCACTTTGATGTTGTGCACCTCAATAATCATTTTAGCTTATAGCTGGATAACATTTATTTTATTGTTAATTAGCTTGCACCTCAGTAATATTTTAATTTTTATCTAAATTGTACTTTATAGCTGCTAGCTTTAATTAGCTTCTCTTTTAGCTCAGTGTACTAGCTTAGTGTATCAATAACATTTTCCATTAAACTCTTTAGAGTAATCGGAAAATTTTCTCTTATTCAGCCCATTCACAGTTATACGTCTCTTAGACACTAGTATAGATCTTTTTCCCTTGACTATTGGGAGAATTGACATAGCTAGACTAGTCAATTTTTGTCTATTGTATTAAATACACAAACCAGTCATGAACTTATACAAATTTAATAATATTACACATTAAATAAACTATATTGTAAAATTGAATTACTATGCACACTAAGTAATTCAACTACATAGCTCAATATTATAGTAACCATTTATAAAAACAATATTGAACTCGAATAAATAAATATAACAATATAGTTTAATATTATATCACATGATTAATTATATTACATAATTAATTTAAGAAATAATAATATTCAGGAGAAGACTTTACTTCCTTAAAACTTTATGGCTCATTCTCCAATAAACATGTTAGAAAATCATGACCAAAAGATTTAGACGTTCTAGCCCTTTTGTTACGTCTAAGCTCATCCTTATTTTCATTGTATGATTTATACACAAGAAAACGATATGCACTACTATTATGAGCATAACCTATCAAATGTGGAGCCCATACGGTTTTGTTCTTGAATTTTATCCCAAAAGGCTTCATACTAATTTGAGATAACACCACCACAGAAAAGCACTTCACATTTCACTTACCTAAGCGATACGGGACTATGTACCTATAGCTCGCCCAATGTGGTAGCCTGTCAATGCCTCTTACTCCCGCCTACGGCACACCCACCCATAAGGTCTCCACATTTTAGGTCATACTTTAACTTTCTTAGGAGTAAAAACTACAACCTTAGTTAGACATCCCCACACTTTTAAGAATATATAGGAAGGTTTTCGACATTTTCATAATTCATATGGTTTCACAATAGTTTTCTTTAGAGGTATTTTATTAAGAACATAATTTGTGGAAAACACAGCTTTTCCTCACAAATTCTGAGTTAAGTCAGAACTTATCAACATATCATTCATCATTTTTTCGTTAATGATACTATGTTCTGAACAAATATCAGTACATGATATTTTGTATTCACCACCTCTATCACTTCTTAACACCTTAATATATTTGCTAAGTTGATTCTCAACCTCATTTTTGTAATGCTTAAACATTTCTAGGTTTCATCTTTGTTTCGTAGCAATTATACATAATAGTATCTTGTGCAATCATTGATAAAAGTAACTAAATACCTTTTTTTCCATCTCTAGTTGACACATGTTTAAGGTAATATAATATACTACATAATATCATATTATAAAATTAAAATAATTCAACCAATATTGATTCATATAAATAATTTAATAATCTACTTATAATAACATGCTTCAATTTTACATAATATTGAACACATCAATATTTAGCATATAATAATGTATATAATATTATTTTATATATCTCAATTAGCATAATCTCTACTTATTTATATCTTAAATAGAAGTATATAATAAACTCTACGCAAGGAATAAATTGTCTTAAGATTGTTGGAAAATATATACTTCAAATGACATTTAAGATATAAATAACATTATACTAATATGCCATGAGATCATTAATAATATGCTAAAAAATAATTAATTAAATATTCAACTCGATCTTTAATTAAACATGCAAATTAAAGCAATAAAATAATAATAAATAAATAAATAACCTGGACCGAGGCTAGTATTGGATACTATGTTCTTAAGATAATTTACGCCCCGCATGGGACTGACGGACTCTGTGGTGCTTGTCTCCCAAAATACAACGGTTTACATCCACCAGTAGCAACACTACAAACTCATGGATATGGTGAACCCCCTCCGTATAATACTCTCTCTGACTTAAAAATGCATCTATACTATATAAACACTGAATTTGGTGCAATTTGAACCAAATGGTTCAGACCAATTTTAACTTGGTTTGATGAAATTAGATTATGGTCTAAGTGGCTCGGACCACTTAACCTACGGTTTGAACCCATTTGGGTTGGGTTCAAATCTAGAGAGTGAGAGAAGAAAAATGAATTGAACGAACTGCAAATGACAGCCCAATGGGGTATTTATAAAAATATAAGTGTCTTTTCGGATTGTGTGTGTCTTTTTATCATTGGACACAACCATTTATATGTGTCTCTTCATTATTGAACACAATAATTTATATGTGTCTATTTATCACCAGAAACACCCACTGTAATTGTAATGACCCTGTCTTTTCTTCCTTTTCTGATTTTCTGTCATTAATTTTTTATTATTATTTAATTATTTATTTAATTATTTGATTTATTCTTCTCTTGTGACCTTAGGATTTTGAG